TTAAAGTGCTTGCTGAAAAGAGATGATTTAATTGTGTTAAAGTTCAAATTAAGTTTAAAACTTTACATGTTCGTCAAGATTCAAACCATAGGGTAGTTCGTTAAGATTCAAATTTAATTAAAACTGTAGGGTTTAAAGAAAGATATTTTCAAATTTTAAATTACCAGTTAAATTACTAATTTAAATTACCAATTTACAATAGCAATTTTACATTACTAAAAAGAGTACTTTAACAAAACGTTCCTGTGGCTAATCTACTTTCAATTTTTTTTAAAGTTTATTAAATTTTCATATTATGATGATGCACAAAAAATTGTGTTAAAAAATTTCAACAGAATATTGAAGCAACTTAGAATGGTAAACTTGTTTTATTATTTGACATGAATTAGATAACTTTTGAAGAATCAAAAACATAAAAAAAGTTATACCTTTACAAGTCCAGAAGTTAATTGACTTTTTAGTGTTGGACTTAAACTAAAACTTTTTGCTCCACCAGTGATAGATATCAACAAACGAGGCTGTTCTAACTCCATAATATTTGTTAAGAGTTCAAAAATTTTCTTTCCAGATTCATTTGCACCAATTCTAGCAAACTAAATTTAAACAAATTTTTAACAAAATTCCAATATTTGTAAAAATTATATTATGTAGAAACATCAAATGAATTTATAAAAATGTAGGTATACACTAGAATAGATATTATGATTTTTTTTAGGAGCCACTACAGTGGAAAGACTTTTTTTTTTAAATTGTATTATATTAAACATATTTCCAAACAAATATTCTTGCTTCAGTAAAAACAAGTACACCTGTTTCTGCTACAACACTCAAAGTATCTTGTGAAATGTCACATTTCTTAGTCAACAATTTTACTAACAGACAGATAATTTTATTGATCCAGTATAGCATCCTGCACTAACTGGTTGCTAAAGATCAGTACTACTTAAAAGAACATTCAATAGTAGTTATTTAGCATTAGCCACATTATCTTTAAATTCTTTTTGGATATGTTCTTTTAAATGGTCCACCAAATAAAAGAATTTTAAAACAACTTAAGTGTTTCACCACATTGTTGCTTAAAAAAATTTTGATGAAGAATTTTCGGTTTTAAAAAGTATTTCTCTTGAACTCTAAAAGATTACCTTTGTTACTCTAAATCTAGCTAGATCTATAATTTTTAGGGAACACTGCTATTTTGGCAGAAAAAGATAACAATATGCTCATCATACAGGCTGTTACAGAAATCACATGTAATTTGTGTATTATTGACGACACTATTTATTAAATAAATAGCGTTGTCAATAAATTGACTATGCTATTTATTTAACATTATGTTATCATTTAACTTTTGTGTGTGTTGTTGGAAAAATACATATTCATATAAATAAAAAAAAATTAAACTATATCTTTGATAATTTAATTATAAATTTGATAATTTAAATACATTGTGTTTAATATAAACAATAGTTAGAAGTAATTTGTTATTATTTAAAGCTTTTGGCATAATATATAAAAACATTTATGTTAAAAAAAAAAAAAAAATTTAAAATATCAAAGTTATTTATCATAAAAAATACACACTTTTTAAATAAAAAATAAGTTATATATGATATTCTTTAATAATTTAAATAAATATTTAATAATTTTGACAAAACAATAAATATTGATAAAAAGTAATTTGTTACTTTATTTAAAAGAGTTTCATGTACTATAAAACCATTAAAAAGAAATCAGTTTCAAAAATATTTATTCCAAACGTAAACTATAAATATTTAAAAATAATTTCCTTTTAGACCTTGAGTTTTATGTTTTATGGTTTTAATTTATTAACATAAGGCTATACAAAGTTTAATTTGTATGAAATTTTAAAAGATAATAACTACAAATTATTAAAAGTTGCAAAAAAAATTTAATACCATTTTTTTGTATTCTATTTTTTTCTTTGTAATGTTTTGTGACAGTGAGAATGTAAATTAAAGTTTTTTGATTTAATAAATTTAGAAATTATTAAAGTTATAATTTTTTTAATGTAATTTTTAGTTGTATCTACATCTACCTCCACTTGTAAGTTTGTAAATTATAGTAATTTCGATTGTTGATTATTTAAAAAAGAAATGAAATAATTGAATTTGAAATTTTTTGTATGTATTCTTTAGTTACATTTATTTCTACAAGCACCAGTAAATTTATAAATTATAGTGTTTTGGCTATCAAATACTTAAATAAAATTTGAAATTATTTAATGTAAAATTTTATATGTATTCTTTAGTTGCGTTTACTTCTACCTCCACTAGTAAATTTGTAAATTACAGTATTTTGATTGTCGATTAATTATATAAAAGTTGAAATAATTGAACTTAAAACTTTTTGTATGTATTCTTTAGTGGATCTATTTCTACCACCACCTGGAAGTTTTTTAAATTTTAGTGTTTTAAATAAAATATAAAATTTATACAGTATTAGGTTTTGTTTTTTCTAACTTTAATTAAGACCTATTCAATTGCCAACTTGTAATTGTGTAAATTACAATTAATTGTAAATTACAAATTAGTATTTTTATTTCATAATTAAATTTTGGAAATTATTAAAATTATTAATGTCTTTTTGTAATATTTAGTTGCAACTACTTCTAACTACTGGTAACTACTTCTAACTACTGGTAACTACTTCTAACTACTGGTAACTACTTCTAACAACTGGTAACTACTTCAACCTACTGGTAACTACTTCTAACTACTGGTAACTACTTCTAACTACTGGTAACTACTTCTAACAACTGGTAACTACTTCAACCTACTGGTAACTACTTCTAACTACTGGTAACTACTTCTAACTACTGGTAACTACTTCTAACTACTGGTAACTACTTCTAGTGCCAATGGTAAGTTTGGAAGTTATAGTGTTTTGAATTAAAGCTAAATTTTGTAAATTATAATTATTTGGGTGTAACATTTAATTGTGCCTTCTTCTAGTGCCAGTGGTAAATTGTATATTATAATTTTTGCAAAAGCTCAATAATTTACTTTTTCCTAAATTTGAGTGGTTTTCTGAATAGACCATTAAATTCTTTCATTTTTTACAAGCTCTACAGTTATTTATACTTTACTTTTAAAAATAAGGTGAGAGAATTTTAGGCCATACTGCTCCCAGCACCCAGGATGACCTACCTTACTCAAATAAATCTGCCTCAAATAAATCTACCTCATTCATTTTTGAGTTGGGAAAAACATGGTGGACAAGCCAGTTTGGAAGTTCGGTACCCCTCCAGTCCCCTTGATACTACCGGCAATTGGAGTCTTGTAATGTGGTAAAATATGTTTATATCTAGAATCGTGTAATGTGGTAAATATGTTTTTATGTATATATAAAATTCTATAAAAAATCACATTTTATGTATTTTTTCATTTTATTTAGGTTGGAGGACACACCCCTTTTCCTAAATCAATGTATTCACCACTAGTATATATTGCAAAGTAGTAAAATATGATTTTTATTTATAATAATAGATTTCCTTTTTATTACAAAGATAGTATTATAAGATAGAATTGGTTTTGATAATATGGTGTGTTAACTATCTCCTTCATATCCACCCTAATATAAAGATACACCTTTTATATGTGTTGGTGGTGTAGGAGCAAATTATAATCATTACAGAAATGACTAATTTCACAAAAAAGACGCTTTACAATTAAAGAAATATGCATTTTCAGGTGGTATAGGTGGTGGTTTGGCACCCCCTTTAGCCCCCTGGACATGCCCGGTGAGCAAAGACCTTTTAATTTTGTAGCCCACTGTTACACCTATTTTTTGATTCCAGGTTATAGGCATTTAGGTAAAGAAAAGCTAAATTTTGACCACAGTTTCTTCAACAAATCCACATATCAAAATTTTGGTACAAAAAACAACATAACTTTTGTCTAGTAATTTTTTCACCTTTTTTAATAATTTTTTCACCTTTAAAATACTGTTTAAAGGGCTTTCAATGATATATAACATTCTTGCATATGATTAATTTAAAATTTTCATGCTACATACCTATATTTATGGCATGCATGTTCATTGTCTTTTATGTCAAAAAAATAAAAATAAAAACAACCCAGATTTATCTAACTATAACATTTATCTCCACTTAGTTTTGTTACAACTCACTATTTGAACATCAACAAACAATAAACTTACTTTAGCTGTTGCTCTTCTAGTTGCACCTTTAAAATTAACCTTTCCAAATGCATTAGTTGGATAGAGTTCACCATTTTCATTTGGTATTAATATGTTACTTTTAACCCATTTATTTTTTTTGTCCTCTAATGATTCCGATTTACCTTCTTCATTTTGTATGTTCAAATTATAATCTCCCATTGCAAAATCTTTTGATTGTTTATAGGAAAAGTACTAATGTAAACAACATTTATACATACATGCATTATGTATGCATTTAAATATGTATTACATACTTACATACATGCATACATACATACATATATATATATATATATATATATATATATATATATATATATATATATATATATATATATATATATATATATATATATATGCATATATATATATATATGCATATATATATAAAACATATATATTTATATATTTACATATAAATGCATATATACATACATATATATGTATATATATATATATATTATTATTATTATTATTATTATTATTATTATTATTATTATTATTATTATTATTATTATATTGCTATTATTATTATTATTGCTATTATTATTATTATTATTATTATTATTATTATTATTATTATTATTATTATTATTATTATTATTATTATATTATTATTATTACTACTATTATTATTATTATTATATAAACATCAACAAATACAATTTTCTCTCAATACTAAATTTATTTTTTAAAGAAATTTTTGCAGGATTGTTGTGACCAGCGTCTTCAGCTTAAAAGATTTTTGTTTGTTTTGTTTTTTAAAAAAAAAATATATATATATATATATATTTAAACTAGCTAAATATATATATATATATATATATATATATATATATATATATATATATATATATATATATATATATATATATATATATATATATATATATATATATTTAGCTAGTTTAAATGCTAGTTAAAATCACAATATAAATCACAATTAAAATCACAATAAAGAAAGTTCAAATTCCATGAAACTACTATTTTTAAACATATCTTTTTTTGTGTTTGTTTCAGAACTAAATTTTTGAATCCCTTCTTGTCAAGCAACTTCAATTCATTTGGTAATTTATTGTATAATTTTATACCATTGCAAAGGATTGACTTTTGTCTACTTTTTTTTTTTGAACTTTTAAGTGCTAATTTGCTGCATTTCTTGTGCAATAATTTTGTACTTCACTGTTTTTTATACAAAATTCTTGGAAGGCATCTATTTTATGCAGTTGAATTGTATTTTGTATAAAAGCTAATATTTTCACTTGAATATTTTCTTTTACAAATAGCCAGTCTTATCTAAACAACATGTCTTTACTATGTATGAACCAGTCGCATTTCAGGATTGTTCTTATAGCTTTGTTTTGTAGTTTCTGCAGTATTTTCATATCATTTATACTTGCATCTAAGAATAATGAAGTACAATATTCAAAATGAGGTCCACCTTGTCAGATATTTAGCGACTCTGGTAAAATACCCAGTAATCTTAGCAATTTTTATTTGCAATATATTTAATGTGTTCAGAAAAATTCAATTAATGTAAATTTTAACATCCAGATATTTGACAGATTCACTAAATTTAACTCTTTCATTTTCCAAAATGATATATTCGTTAGGATAATTTACAGTAATACTCGAGTATTTCACTTTAGAGCTTGTAATCAGCATACCCATCGACTTACTAGCATTCAGTTTCATATATAAATAATATATACACTATATATAATTCATATACATTAACATATATATACATAATATATACACTATATATATAATATATATATATATATATATATATATATATATATATATATATATATATATATATATATATATATATATACATTATATATATATACATATATGTATATAAAAAATAAATACATATATATATATAATATATATATATATATATATATATATATATATATATATATATATATATATATACATATATATATATGTATGTATATTATTCATATATATTAGTATATATACACTATAAATAATGTATATATACATATAAATAAATATATACATATATATATATATATATATATATATATATATATATATATATATATATATATATATATACACGCATATATGCATACAAAATATAAATATCCATTTTATATGCTAAATTGTTCAGAATACACGTATTAGACACCGCCTTAAATTATTACGTCAAGAAAAGACAATAAAGCTATTGCAACATGATGCTATTATTTTGGTTGAATGATTAAAACAACGTTTCCCACGGTTATGTACAGTAAATCTGATAATCATTGTATTAAACTTATAGGATTAGAGATTAAAGTTTTAAATTTTAGAATAAAGAGAGGTATTATTAATAAAAGTTTTATTCAATTGACTATAAAAAATAATATTCAATTGACTATAAAAAAACTTGTTTGCTGCTGTTATTACAGTTGACCAAGAATATATATATATATATATGTGTGTGTGTGTGCGTGTGTGTGTGTTTGCGCGTGGAGTTATATATGTGGAGTGTGGAGTATATAAACAAGGCCGGCGCGAAAGGGGTGTGTGGGGGTGCGTGACCCCCTCCCTTCCTCATCAACGGCAAATTTAACCCTTATTCGGCAAATTTGATATAGGTTCGTCGATAATTTAGACAGTCAGTCGGCAAATGTCGTCATGGCAGTCGTCAAATTTTCGAAAACGAGGACCTATTTTTTTTTTTTTCTTTAGTCATCAAAAGTTGTAATGGCACCTACTCGCGCCGGCCCTGTATATAAATGTGTGGAGTTATTTTGCGCATTTTTGTGGCAATTACCTTTCCTAACTCGTCTTCTGCACAGAAGTGTGGAGTTATTTACACAAAATAACTCCACACTTGTGTCTAAGAGTGATAGCTACACACCGGTGAGGAGAAAAACTCCACACTTTCCACGAGTGTGTAGGTGTAAGGTGTAACATCGTCCATAAAGTGCGTACGCTCAAATGGGGAGAGGAGATCTGAAAATAGCGTATATGATGGGGGCGGTGAGTTAACTATAAAAGTAAGGAGACACTTAAAAAAGAAATTAAAAGGAAAAATAAAATGTTGAGTAGGTAGGTTAAAAGAACAGATACTTTTAGGGAGGTAGAGGGTACTCAAAAAAGCGTCTAGCAAAATGCGGGAAAAAGGGGAGGGTCGAAATAAAAGCGTAGGTACTTTCCGTACTACGGAAATTTAGTATAATATACGGAAATATAGTATAATACTACGCTTCCGTATCGATGAAACCATTATTATTTTAACTGATGTTTTTAAATTGGAATAGTTAACTTCACGAAATGGAAAAATTTTTGGTAAATTGGAATAGTTAATTTCACGAAATGGAAAAAATTTCGGAACATGCTATTCTTTTTATTAAAGGTTTTAAACACGCAACATAAACGAATAGTAACTTATTTCTGAGTTGTGACGGCTGGTTTATAGCATTTATATATGATAATAAGTAGCGTTTATAAAAAAGAATATATATATATATATATATATATATATATATATATATATATATATATATATATATATATATATATATATATATATATATATATATATATATATATATATATATATATATATATATAATGTTTACGATTATATTTATTTTTTACCTGAAAAATTGCAATTGTTAAATCAGCGAAATAAAAATTAATTATATATAAATATATATATATATATATATATATATATATATATATATATATATATATATATATATATATATATATATATATATATATATATATATATATATATGTATATATATATATATATATATATATATATATATATATATATATATATATATATATATATATATATATATATATATATATATATATATAACAATACAAAATGTAATTATCTATGTACAAACTATTAATTTAATTACAAAAATACGACAAAATCTATAAGAATAACACGTCATACTAAAAGAACGAATAGGAAGTGACGAAAGAATAAGTTTATAAAAATTTTCATAGAAAGTAATAACTAAACAGAAAGTGTCAGTGTCATTTGGACATGGTTGACTTGTTTGTTCAAACCAGGTTTTAACCATTCTATGAACATGCTTTCTTTAAGTTTTAATTCGAACTTATTAGATGCTGAATCTAAAACGGAAAAACACTTTTCATTTAATTGTATAAAACAATTTTCATTACCATGGAGATGTTTATAGATATGTGATTTTTTGTCTCTCTTATGTTCAGTTATTCGTGTCTTGAGATAGCGAGTAGTTTCGCCTATATAACAGGAGTTACATCCTGCGCATACGAATTTGTAGACCACGAGCAATTTGAACTCTAGAGGAATAGGATCTTTAGAGGAAAAAAATTCTGAAATTTTTAGTGAGACAAAATTTAGTTTAAAAATTTCAAAACAGCAGTATCTTTTAACGATTGAATTTAATTTTTTTTTAGTTAATTCCGATATTTTTCCTAAAAACGGTAGTTTAAAGTAAGACGAAGGCTCTTTGATTTTAGGTTGTGATGGATTGTTTGTGTTAATTTAGTTTAAATAAGATTTATATATTTTCGATATAAGCCAAGATGGATACATTTCTTTAAAATACTTTGAAAAGGTTGTTTATGTCGGAGTTAAACCCTAGATTAGTACTATTGATTTTAGTATGACTTGTTATTCTTATATATTTTGTCGTATTTTTGTAATTAAATTAATAGTTTGTACATAGATAATTACATTTTGTATTGTTATTGTAAAAATCACCTATATAGGTATTTAAACAAATTTAAATATATATATTTAATTATATTTATAACATTTGTTTGATAATTTTATTCAATAATTATATTTATTCGATAAATTTAGGCAAACGTTTTGCATTTTTATCAATTTTAGTATAAATAAAATTTATATTTTATATAATTATATTTAGTATTTTTCACTTAGAATCTTCACTCCCCAGTCAGGTGACCAGACCGTTACTATTAATAAGAGTATTGCTCCCCAATCAGGTGACCATAATAGATGAACAATTCAAAGTACTATAGCAGAATACAATGTTAAAAAACATCATTAAAATTGAATTGGAATTTATGGATTCTATGGAGATTTTCATAAACAAGCAAGTTTTAATCCCTCTATTGAATTATCTTAGTGTTTATTCATTCAAGACAGCAAGAAGATTTGTCCATAAGATTATTAGATCTTTATAGGATTATTATCTCTTTATAGGAAAAAACATTTACAAAACTTTAACCAT